AGAGTTGATACTTCAAATAGTTGATAACGTCTTCTTTCACTTTCCTGATGTTTTAGGCCAACTGTCAGTCAATATTCAATAATGCGATGTGCTGCTTCTGGAGCAGAGATCATGCGACTGGCTTGATAATTTTTGTTGTGAAGCATTATTTGTTTACTCGGCATTGTTGTGGTATAAACAAATATAAGTTGACATTGTCGATGACGTCATTTCTTGAAGACAACGAGGAATCACAAATTTTTATAGTAAGAAGATGCTGTCACAGATTGAAACAAGTGACGATTCTTTCTGTTGACGCAATATGCCATCTATGAGCACTGTTGTTAACCTGCTTGAAAATGGCGGAAGCACGTTATGTGGAGTAACAAAGCAGGTGCAACGACACTTCAGGAGAGTGTATGACAGACGAAATGCGCCTTCAAGACGTAACATTTATTAGTGGTATGATCGATTCATCGAAACAGACGCAGAAATGAAGGCGTTTTCAGATGAAGCGACATTTTATACAGCGCTGCAACCTGGCGAAGTTATGCGAGGTGTGATAAGTACTCAACCCAATCAATAAACAATCCTAATTAAAATAGATGAATAAGTAGTTTTTTCTAAAAATGGTTGTATTCTGAGTTGCTGATGGAGACCTTTGAAACGTCGGAAAACTTTCACTAGACTACACGGCGCAACAACCCAGAAGGCAACCATCTTGATACTCGCTGCCGAGACAAATTTAATATGATTTTGTACGTCATCAAGTGTCTTGTGTATATTTTATACAGGTGACGTTTAGGGAATTTTCGCTTTTCTCCTCTTCTTATGATTGGTTTTCTCTAATCTACCGCGTGACTGTCACTGACTGACAAATCATTTCTATTGTAGGTGTTGTCTATTTGTCAGAGATCAGCAGTGGGTATCTGACTCACTAATTTGTACTGTTTCATGAAATATGTGTAATAACTAGGTCTTGTTTCATGGTCGCCGTCTCAGACGTCTTTCAACCCATTGAGTAACGAATGTTGGAGGGGCGGTGGGAACTCCATGGTGATAATAATCCTCCGCTAAGGTAAGAACTGCTCTACAGGTCTAACAATTCTCTTGTGACTGAGACTCGTTCTTTTGACCATGAGGTCGATACAGAAATAGGAAGTCTGAGATTAATATCGATATCGCTTTTAGGCGAAACAGCAATTATTGTCTGCTATAGTTGAGAGAGGAACAGAAATACCTGGAGAGTTTTGAAATGTGGTGTTGGAGAAGAATAGAGAAGATCAGGTGGACGGATCGAGTGACCAACGAAGAAGTATTGAGGAGA